CTTGTGCACAAGGCAAACTCCCTACCGCTGTGCTATCACTTCAGCCCAATAGTAGGTTAATATCCAAAATATATATAATTTCCAAAACAAATACTCTGAAGGGAATGGAACTGAGGTGGATTAGAGATAGAGAGGTGATCAGAGAGAATCTATGCAATAAATCTCCCACAATCACACATATCAAAAATAAAAAATATGAAGGGCACTGGTGAACTTAGTTCCCCAAGAGATGAGTGTAAGTGTTCAACTTGTTCAACTTGTAGAACAAGTTGAATCTGTTGCCAGATGCCCAGCATGGGCTGTTTTCAAGCTGGAATGCTCTGGGAAACAGGCCCTGCTTGCTCTAGAAGCCTTGACTGTCCTGAGTATTGTAGAGAGCATGGCAGTGCATGGACCAATGGTGGGGTGATGAGCTTCAGTCCTGAACTTCCAGGGGAAGGGGATGCACCTAGCCTCTACTCCTCCAAATATACAACAGATATGACTATTTTCACATGGAATAAAGGGAAGGTTGTAACTGGCTGAATGCTTGTGTCAGAATCAGCAACGGTACTATATTGTGTCTTTTCCACTAGTGGTCTGTCTGGACGCCATCAGGTCTGAGGCAATCCTGCCTATTCTCATAGGCTAAACTGGTGACTAAGTGACCAGTTGTTTATGTCCTTTGCAACCTATAGTTGTCTAGAGCAAGCAGGGCCTGTTTCCCAAATCATTCCAGCTTGGAAGGGGCCCATGCTGGGCATCTGGCAACAAAGGGCAGGTTCTGTGACTTAGGATCCACCACCTATGAAATCTGGGCAATACATATATCACCCATCCATACACAGACAAGTGCAAACACAGCAGGGAAATTGGGAGAGAACTAGATTTTGGAAAACTAGAAGCCTTGACTGCCTCCCAGGCCCTCTCACAGAAGTCTTCAGGGGCTGTCGGGGCATAATTGTGATCTGAAGTTCAGTTCTCCAAGGTTGGTTGAATTTGGCACACATCTATTTGTGGGAGACTGCAAGCCTGAATTCCCCTCATCTCTGTCACAGGAAGAAGGGAACAAAAATTTAGGAAGAATATTACTGTAAAGCTACCGCTGGATACCAGGAAACTAGTACCCCAGAAAGACCAATAACCTTGCCTAGACTTGGCATAGATGAACAAGACGGTAATATTGCCAGTGCACACGTATTCATCATTGAGTCCTAATAAAATATGGTGCTCAGGCATACTGGGTCACACGTTATTGAGATCATCTGATGGCAGCACAGGCCCAATCAAATTCAAGTCTTACAGGCCTTGGTAAACCTTGCACCAAAAGCTGATATCTAGGTCTGCTAAACTTCTGTTCTACAACTGCAGCCAGATCTGACAAATGCAAATCCCCCGGTAGCTGATAAGCTGGATGATAAGCTATTACTGGGCACCTGAGACTGTCATGCTCAGTCATGCTCAGGCCAGCTGTATTTTGAAACCATGTCTATTTCCAGGCACCAGCAAGTGTGAATCCTGGGTGCTATACCTGGGTGCAGTAGCTGCAGCAAAGGACTGGTGATCACAAATTCGCACTGATAATCCAGGACAACACAAACTCAGAGCCACAAACACTGTTTTGAATTTACAAGTGTGAAATCCTAATCAGTGCTTATGTTAGCTTGAATGTGGACCCAGAGCTTTCACATAGCATCAGAGATAATTAAAAAACTAGAAAAATATACCTAATAGATGAAGATAAAAACTTTGGAAAGTGTCTACACACTCCAGAAATTCTTAAACTCTCCTAGGAAGACTTCCAAGCAATTATGGTATTGATACTCAGTGAAATGAAAAAATGAATGAAAGATAGCATCAATAAGTTGAAAGAGTATGACTAAATTCCAAGCAATAAAGAATGAGCTGAAGATTATAGTTGTTAAAGACATAATAGCAGGACTCAAGCAAAGTGGATAAGGCTGAAAATCAAATCAGCAAACTCAAGGACAAGGGAGATATAATCACCATAAAAGGTAAAGGTAAAGGCCCTCCCGTTGATCGTCGATTTGCTCGAGCGGGCCCAGTAACGTCTCCATTGGAGACTTTGTTGTTACTGTGTCTGGCATATCGAATACTCTCGGTAGCTTGCCGGGCTCTCCGAGAGGGGCGGAGGAATCGAACTCGGTTCGGCCATGTTGGCCGCTTGTAAGGCGAACGCCCTACCTGCTGTGCTATCGCTCCAGCCCAATTTTTTAAATGGAGTAAATATGAGATATATGGGACAGCATTAAGAGGAACAACATTCACATCAAAGGAATTCCAGGATAAGAGGACAGAGATAAGGGAAATAGTTACTGATAGAAGATATAATAGCTGAGAATTTCCCAAATCCAGGAGGAGTGATATATTCCCAAATCCAGGAACCATAAACTGCCAAACAAAATAAACTCAAACAGAAGAAAGTCAAAACACACTATGATTTAAAAGGCAAGAGTCAGAGAGACACAGAGACTCCTAAAACTTGCAAAAGAAAGGCAGAAACTCACATGTAAAGTAAATCCTATCATAAGACCATAGTAGATTATCAAATGAAACTACAGATCAGACGTGACCAAAGTATTGAATGTAAAAGACGACCAATCAATAATCTTCTATCTTGCTAGGTTATCAAAGATTTGAAGGAGTGATAAAATCTTTTCAGATGAACAGCTAGACATTTCCTCAAAGAACACATAGGTGACTGAAAGCATATTAAAAAGTATTCTTCATCACATCAAAAGGAAAATTCAGATCAAAATGACAATGACACATAATGTCATACCAGTGAGAGAAATGGCTTAAATTACAAATTCAGAACTTTCAGTGCTGGTTGTCATGTGGCAAAATTCTCATTCACTGTTGATGGGAATGTTGACGTATTCAATCACTAGAAAATAGTATGGAGGCTTCTCAAATCTGAAAAATAGAACTAGCCCACGTGGCATATAAAGAAACAGCTGGATAATAGACAATGTCTAGTGAAAACATGCCTATAAACTCTGACAACAAAACTGAGGTTAGCAATCTGGGTGGATGTGTGGAGGGGTGGGGAGAGAGATGGCTAAGAAGGAAACTAGGGGGAAGAGTGAGGGAGAAATGTTGGCGCTCTGGTGATGAGTTTAGTACAGCAACATTATTCATGTAAATCAAAAAACACTAATACTTGGACTGGAGAGATAGTACAGCAGGTAAGGCATTTGCCTCGCATGTGGCCCACAGGGCTCTGATCCTCAGCATCTCATAAGATCCCCTGAGAACTGACAGGGTGGTTCCTGAGTGCAGAACCAGGTTACCCCTGAACATTCCAGGTCTGGGCCAAAAACCAAATAAATAAATAAATAAATAAAAATAGCACAGCGGGTAGGGAGTTTGCCTTGCACATGGCCGACCCAGGTTCGATTCCCAGCATCCCATATGGTCCCCCAAGCACCGCTAGGAGTAATTCCTGAGTGCAGAGCCAGGAGTAACCACTGTGCATCGCTGGGTGTGACCCAAAAAGTGAATAATAATAATAATAAAGATAATTTCTTTAAAAATTAATATTATAAGTCATGTTACCTCAACAATAAAAAATAAAAACTAGTTCTGATGTGTATACAGAAAAATAAAACTCCAAAATAATAACAACATTAGCAGCAACAACAGCAAAACAACCCAGTTAAAAAGTGGGTGGGTAAAGAGGGCCAGAAATGCTGCTTAAGTGCCCGAGCACAGTCCTGATATGTTAGATTCTCAGTACTGCATAGTTCTCTGCTATTTGAATGGACTACAGAATATCATATTGAGTGAAGTAAGACAGGAGGAGGAGGACAGAGAAAGAATAAGGTTCCTCTCATATGTAAAACTGTAGCACTATAGCACTGTTCTCCCATTGTTCATCAATTTGCTCGAGCGGGCACAAGTAACATCTTCATTGTGAGACTTGTTGTTACTGTTTTTGGCATATCGAATATGCCACGAGGAGCTTGCCAGGCTCTGCCATGCAGGCGGGATATTCTTGGTAGCTTGCCAGGCTCTCTGAGAGGGACAGAGGAATCAAACCCAGGTCAGCCACGTGCAAGGCTACCGCCCTATCTGTGCTATTGCTCCAGGCTGATAAGTAAAACATAAAGGACAAAGGGGACAAACAAATGGCCAAAGGCAAATAAACCTAGAAAATTGGTGTGCAGAACTGAGCTTACCATGGAAAGTGAAGGAGGGAAGTGGACTCTCTGGTGGGGGTGTGGAGTTGGAATGATGTATGCATGAAACTATCACTGTAAATCACAGTACCTCAATAAAAATGGGGGAGAACACACACACATGCAATGTTGGCAAGGCTGTGAAAAAACAGAATCTTTATACATTGCTGATGGGCATGCAAAATGGTAAACAGTTTGACAATTCCTCAGAAAGTTAAATACAAAATTCCCCTATGACCTGGTAAATCTGCCCCTAGGTATGTAATCAAGAGAAAAGCATATCAACATAAAACCTTGTATGTGAATATATATCCCAGGATTATTCACAATAACCAAAAAGAAGAAGCAAACAAAATTCATCAGTAAAACTGATATGTCAGTAAAACTGAGATATATATATGCAACATATATAAACATACTGTGTTATATGTGTACAGTGGATCATAACATAGCACTGGGGAAATGAAATGTGCTATATGTATCATTACTGATACATGCTACAACTTAGATAAAACTTGGAAAAGTGGTAGGTTGTGAAACCATTTGAATACTGTTACTACTGAACTACACATTTTAAGGTGGCTAACTGTTTTTGGGTGATTTTTATTTATTTATTTATTTATTTATTGGCTACACTGGGCTCTGGTCAGGGATTATTTCTGGTGGTACTTAGAGGAGCATACATATTGCCAAGAATGAAATCTGGGTAGGCTTCATGCAAGGCAAGTGCTATAACCTCTGCACTAGCTCTCTGACTCTTGGTTAATGATACTTTATATGGATCCCACTAAATTTTTTTTAAAAGCAAGAGTGACTTACTTTTCTTTTTCTTCTGGAGATAATGCTCGCCAAACAATTTGATTCAAGCGCCTGTTTTTAAAAATTAACAATAATTCTTTAGTAGCAATTCTTTCATTTTGTGGCAAAAGGTGACCCCTAGCTCTAAGGGGCACTGCAGAGGGATCCCAACTCAGACACTGTCACCATTGGACCAGAGACTCTCCTTTGCTTAAAGAGCCCCAATAGAAGTGTTTCCCTCACTCAGCATCACTGCAGAGGCCTTTCGCTTTGTGGTAACAGTGTCAAACATTTTTATGGGAAAGCAGTTCTCAGTAAACCTACTGAAGATAGTCCTCTGCCTGGATTCTGAGCAAAAGGGGTGAATGAGTCTGAACGACAGGATTGGGACACACTTTAGAGATCAATCAACCTGATTGTATTTTCCAAATGAGGAACTTAGAGGGGGAAGCAGAGAAAACACTTACTTATCCATCAAAGCAAGTTGCAGTGGAGATGCAAGTTCTTCACTGCAACCATTTGCAGAAACACAGAGCATCATGATAAGGAGAGGGGTGTGAAGGACTCTGTCTCTTCAGGGGAAGAATAGATCCTTTTCCTTTCCCTCATCAGAGGTTCTGGCTGGCTCTGTCTGTTACACCTTCACCGAGACCAGGCTCCACACAAAGCAGAAATTGTGGTTTGGTATGACTGAGGTCACTGAGAAGGTGTTGAGCCTGGACGCACGGACACAACTATGGGAGTTCCCATGGGAGGCCAAGAGGGAGTAGATATGGAGGGATCTCTGAGCTAGCCCAGCCTCTTGATTCAGGGATCTTATTAACTAGTTTCCCCATTTGTTATAGGAAATGCAACCCCTCAACCAACTGCTTACCAAATTGCTTATTCATAAATCTACTTGTACTAAGAATGACCTCACAAAGAAATTTGTAATTAACTCTCTGGTAACTTAATCAGCAGCCCAAGCATTTTGATGATCATTAGAGGTTTCTAAGCAGGGTGCCAGAGTGAGTTTAGATCCAATGCCTTTCCTGTGGATAGATGGCTGTAACCTTGACAATAACCTTGACAACCAAAAGGTGTTGCAGAAAAGTAACCCAGGATCCTGCCAGTCTTGGGGCCTTTGCACTAAGGCACAGCAAATCAAAATCGACATCACACCAAAAATTGTTCTCTCAATTCTTAAAATATTAAACAGGTGGACACTTTGGCACAAAGTGTAATAAAAATCTGTTTAGTCATAGAGGTAGAGGAGAAGGACATTGCCAAGTCTCAGGCAAGGAGGATGGGGGCATGCCTGAGCAGAGCAAAGGGACAAATATGCCGGAATCCTTCCCCCCGCCCCCGGAAAACTATGGAGGCGGCAGCAGGAACTCCTGCACAGCGGCTTCACTTCTCAGCACGAGAAGCAACTTGGGAGAGGCCTATGATGCTTAAGGTGAGGAAAGCCAGACTCAGGACAGGGTCTTGTGCTTCCGGTGGCTGGGAGGGACTGGAACTAGATACACTGCAAAATAACAGCTGACCTGTAGGTGCCAGGGTGGGCTACATCTTTTGTTTTGTTTTCTGGGTCTACCCAGAGGTGCCCAGGGCTTACTCTTAGATCTATGCTCCCTGCCCACTGTACTATTTCTCTGGCCCCTGGGTTACATTATTAACTTCTGTGTACTTCATTTCTCCTACATATGGTGATAAATGAAAGCCCAACTGTGCAGCTTCCAAAACCAAGAACAGGCTTGTTTGACAAAGCTGGATGTGCTCAAAGTTTAATTAAATGCTGTGAACCAAGGATTTTTTAAGAACTGATGGTGAAGGTGATGAGGGAATTAGAGAATGGGAACAAAGATGAGGCTGGGCACCCCTCCTGTGCAAAGAGCCCCCCAACCTATCTCAGCTCTGACCAGGGACTGCTTGGAGGACATTTTCACTGTAGTCAGCTTCTGTTTTCTTGATGTTGAGTTAAAATCACTTAAATAATAAACACATTATCTCCATGAGTTTACCGTTATAACTTTTTTCTTTAGGGGCCGCATCTAGCAATTCTCAGAGGTTACTTCTGGCTCTGCACTCAGGAATTACTCCTGGCTGTCCTCCGGAGACCATATGGGATGCTGAGGATTGAACCTGGCTCGGCTGTGCACTGCGTAAGCTCTCTACCCAGTGTACTATCTTTCCAGTTCATATCATTATGACATTTTATCAGTCATATTTGACAATGTTATATACCCAAATGGTCACATTCATTCTATTAAAAGGAAAACCTTATGTATCTCATGTTTACATGAGAAGTCTATAGATTTTGAAAAGAGGAGATGGTTTCTTTTAAACTCTGTTGGACATTTTCAGGAAATGCATTTATCATGGGACCTGACACTTGGGATGTGCCTATTTTTGTGGCAGCTGCTGTTGCTATTCTTTGTGGACAATTCTAAAATAGCGGCTTCAGAAAAGAAAACTGAACTGAAAGGAAGGAAAACAGGCTAAAACAAAACACAAATGCCACATGCATTAAAGAGCAGCAATAAACAATACCTACCTTTCATAAGATTTAATAGCCTGTTCCACTTTTTGCTTGTAGATGTTGAGCTTGACTCCCTGGGGGTTAATTAGTGACATCTTATTTGTGTCATTGCACACGTGCGCTGGAGGGAATACCTGCATGTCAACACCAAAGCAAAGTGTTATCTGGGCTAACAGATGCCTACAGTAATATATATGTGGCTTACAGCTTTTATGATTATAAAGTCAACATATTATTAATATAGGAAAATTAGAACACAGAATCAGAAGCATCACAGCTAACTCATTTCTTCTCATTTTTAAACTAAATATATTGTTTAAAATAACCAAATCACATGTATAAAAACCTGTTTGAAGAACCCAAGTCAGAATTGAATATTATTGTCTTGGTCAGATCTATGAGAATAAAGGGAACCAGAGTCTTACTGTTACTTCTTTATACATTAATAATTGGGTTAAACATCTTTTTTCAGATATTTATATTTGATTTTCTCTTGAAACTGATTATAATTAATGTATTTTGGCCTTCTGATCTTACAAGAGATTCTTCTACGTGCCAAATAATGAAAACTTCAAGATCAATGAAACCACATCCTTTAAGAACACCGAGTACCAGAAAGAGAGCTTTTCTTCCACTGCCACTTTCTAGCTGATATTTCTGGGGCTGGCAATGCCTCTGATTCCTGTTAATGCCCTGTTAATAGTAACACTTTTTCATATTATCCGTCTTTCTTTAGTAATATGTAAGGTTTATTGGAGTAGAAACTTTGTTTTATTTGTTGCTATCTTTCTTTCACTTAAAACAGTGCTGACACATAATGAAGCCTTAACCAAATATTTATTGTATTTTAACAAAAATGTATATTCCATACCTAATCAACAGTCAGAATGTCAATTCATCTGAGAAGAAATTAATTTTCTGTATAACCTTGAATATTTATTAATTATTATATTAATTATAATTATTATAATTAGGTTGCTTATAAATGTAATTGTCTTACAAAAGCACAAATGCATATAGGAGTGTCATAAGAAGAAATTGATGAGGAAATGAAACAATAACATTTTAAACAATGAAATCATAGTAAGGTAAATATTGGGTCCAAAAGTACAGGGCTGTTTGCTCTGCATTTTGCTGACCCCAGTTCAATCTCACTGCATACAGTCCTCCTGATCATCACAAGGAATAATCCCTGAACACAGATACAGGAGTAAGTAAGGTGTGACCCAAAATCCAAAACAAGAGAAGATATTGACATAGAAATTTAATTTTGTTATCAAGACCCAAACATATAAGTCAAAGATTCAGAAAACTGGAGGAAAAGAATGAAGTCTAAAAGGTACCATAGTCAAACCTCACTGCTTATCAAACACATGAATTCAGCATGTGGCTTCTAAACAACTTTTGTCAAGGGGAAGTTGCAAGAACAGTGTGTTTAAAGTTAAACATTGGACTTTGACATCTGAATGACTTGCAGAAAAAAAGTCATCTTTCAAAGTAGGGCAAAGTATCAGAAAAACTTAAAAAAACAAAAGCATTATCAACAAAATGGAAGAACTGGACATGTATATTTCTTGAAAAAAATACTGTCTCAGAAGTCAATAAATTTACCAAATTTACCAATAATAGCTCAACTACAAATTAACAACACAAAATATTTACCAAAATCATAACATTTCATTTGGATCAGCTTGATTCTCATCTTACTATCTTAATCAAAGAAAACCCCTGTATAAAGTTCTACTTCCCTCTTTTGATGACTTGGATCTCATGCTTTGCATGGCCATCATGTAATTCAGTGTGGTTGTAGTTCAGACTGGGTTCTTTCTGCATCCACTCTCATTGCTTTCTGTATGCAGATTTAGAGGAGGACAAAGTCATGCTCTAACACCTCAGTCTGTGGTCTTAATTTTTATAAGATGGTAGAATCATGGAGAAATTTTAAGACACTGTCTTTGTGATGTCAAATTTGGTGTGGCTGTGAGGTCATAAAGAACATTCTCATAGGGACTTAGGTCATCAAATCATGACCAGTCATGCAAGGAAGCAGATGAGGAGGATTGTGCAGCTGAAAAACTGACAGTTTGGTAGAGATAGAATAAAGCCACCTTTCAAACATTCTTTTGAAAATAGTTTGTCTCTCTGATGTAAATCAAATATAACCAACTAATGAGGAATCTTTTTAAAAAAATTTAATAACAAAAAGGAGCCTCAGGGTACTATCTCCTTCAATCCTCCTTCTTGAGACATCTTACCTTACTGATATTAATAATCATACCCTGTGTAAGAAGATGTTGATCAGGAAAGAGGCAAAAGGTGAGAGGAAGCCTTTAGGCAGTCAGTGAAATTTAGGATAGTTTTAAAAACAATAATAATAATAATAGTTCAAAAACATTTAGAAAGGTATCTGTTATAAAACATTTAATCTTGCTATTGAGGTAGATGCCAAGAAAGTAAATAATATGAAAAAGACCTTAAGTGATATATTTAGTTTACATAAGAAAGCTAGACTCAAATAGAATAGAAAATTAAAGACATTTTTGAATAGCATTTGGCAAGTTAGTTTTTTAATGTTACTGTTCTTACGTGGTAATAAAGATATAGGAAAATAAAAATTCTCAAAGTTTCAAGTGAACTAACAACCCAACAATGAAAGAAATCATTGAATGGTAGTAATTCATGATGTTGGGTATTAGTAAGCCATTAAATTTTTTTTAAAAATAATGTTTACCAAAAAAATAATGTTTACAAGGGAATAATGCTGAATGAAGCAGAAGACAGAAGAGAACACTATCAGCTGTGATGCAGTACAGGTAAAATCTACCTGACAACATCAGAGCAATGATGATAAGCAATCCCACAACATTTTGAAAATGAGGAACTGTTATGAAGTTGGTATTTATAGAACCATTGCTTAGCCCTGACTGAATTCACCCACGTTGCTATTTTTTAAAAATTAAACGACTTCCAATAATTATCCCAGAACTTGTTGCCAAATTAGCCCAAAAGAAGGCTAATTGGACTTACACACAAAAATGTATAAATGGTGGAAATCCTATATGAATGATTGAATTTAGAGATAGGCTATTATAGATCTTGCAGTTGCTGGGAGCTAAATCTTAAATCTGCTTCTAAACAGAAGTATTTCAAGGTCTCACAGAACAAAATGGCTTAAATCCACAAAATACACTGGCAAAATAATGTGTGAATCAGGTCATACCTAAACTCAAACATGCTATTCATTACAATATAGATTACATCTCATCATCTCATGTTTTTCTATCTAAAATTTTAGAAAAATTAAAGCTTTCTCCCTATTAAATTTCACTTGAAGTACATAAAGTAATTTAATTTGTATTGCAGATGAATATTTGCTGACTTAGAATAATGTTCGCATTAGATATAAAACAGTAAATGCAGTTCAAATTAATTTTGATAATATAAAAACAAAGAACATAAATAAAATGAAAAAGTTCTAATAAAACCAACAACTAATTCATCTCTATTTATTTTCAATTATCAATACTCTTGTTGCATAACAAATGTATAAACATATTTTTCTAACAATTTTTTATATTTTTTACTGTTTTTACATTTTACATTTTAACTTTTTTACAATATCTTTTACATTTTTTCAGATATCTAGTTAACTTTATTTTTATTTTTATTAAATAATTGTGATTTACAAAGTTACTGTTAGTTAGTCGAGTTTTAGCCATACAATATTTCAAGCCCAATCCCACCACCAGTGTCAACTTCCCTTCACCAGTGTTCCAAAATCCCCTCCCCATCCTAACCCTGACCCTATCCTGTCTGTCAACTGGACAGTTACATTACAAAGTTCAGTTGCTGCAGCTGAGATCTCATATTTTTCAGTTTTGTTGAGTCTGTGTTTGGGGTATATGGCTATACCACTCACCCATATCATCATCAGTATAACTGAAGCCCTGATGCCTGTTCACCTATTACTTCCTGTACTCTTCTTTCCCCTTTACTTTTTTCCTTTTCTGTCTCCATCTCTTTTCACTGAGGTCTAGATTGATCTAGGCATGCCCCCCCCCCCCGCCTTTTACTGCAGTACAGTTCTTCATCCAGTATTCTATATACCACAGATAAGTGAGATCATCCTGTGTTTGTCTTTCTTCTTCTCGCTTACTTCACACAACATATCTCCTATTTCCAACCAAATTGAATAATTTCATCATTCCTTGCAACTACATAGTATTCCACTGTGTATATATACGATATCTTCATAATCCATTCATCTGGCTTTGGACACCTAGGTTAATTCCATATCTTAGCTATTGTACTGAGTGCAGTGATGAATAACAGTGTGCATGTGTCCTTTTGAGAGAGTGTTTTTCTATCCTGGCGGGAAATACCCCAAAGTGGAATTGCTAGGTCATATGGAAGTTCAATTCTAAATTTACTGAAAAATATTCAGAGTATTTTCCACAGAAGTTGTACCAGATGACATTCTCACAAGTAATAGATGAGTTTCTTTTTCAACATATCTCTCCCAACACAGATTGTTCTTACTATTTTTGACATGTGCCATTCTCACTGGCATGAGATGGGATTTTTTTAGTTAAGTCTGTCAATGCAGTTTTGTTATGCTCAATGATACTAAATTCAAACTCAAAAGTTACAAAATGCTATCCACATCTTTAATAGCATTCTTAATCTCTTTGTGCCCAAGATTCTTCATCAGCTAAATGATGAGATGATTTACCACCCCTATTAGTTGCAGATGCATTTTTTGGTTCTCTAAATTACAGATGAGGCTTTGCTTTAAAAGGGCTCATGGGGAGATGAAATGAATAGAAACTTTGACAAAGAAGAAATCCGAATGGCTAAAAGACACATGAGAAAATGTTCCACATCATTAATCATCAGGGAGATGCAGATCAAAACCACAATGAGGCATCACCTCACACCACAGAGACTGGCCCATATCCACAAGAACAAAAGCAACCGGTGCTGGCGCGGATGTGGTGAGAAAGGGACACTCCTTCACTGTTGGTGGGAATGCCGACTGGTTCAGCCCTTTTGGAAAACAGTATGGATGATTCCTCAGTGCAAAGCCTCAGTGGCAGTGTGCTGTAACAACCACCATGGAAGCTTGGAGGCTTGA